CAATATAACTGTCCTTGAAAGTGTAGTAATATATGATATAATTGTAGCAGTGTCACTGGAGGGTTAATGTCATTAGAGAAAAGATGGTGGCAAGATATTGATAATGTGTCACGATCCGTGAAGTGTCTGGTTAGGTGACAGACATTGTCAAAACTCTGATTGAAGGGTTAGGAATGACAGAATATTGGCATGATGATATATAGAACACTCGATGCCATTCTCTCATATCGAAGGATGTTACTTTTATTTTAGTTTTATAGTTCTAAATTTAGATTTGAGAGGTCCAGCAGTTGCATTGACAATATTTGCTCTTCGTAACTCATTTACATAAATTAATTGGATATCATTAAGAATGCATTTGAACAAAGAACTAACAAGCACCGTAATTAAATATAAATTAGGTCACATTTGATATGGTTGAAGTACAATTATCCTTGTCACCCACAGAGTTATCGCCCTTGATCATCACAGCGTTAGGATTGTTGTATAACACCTGTTAAAGTCAATATATTTGACCAATCATTCCCTGGTGGTGGGGTCAGATTTCTTACTGACTGACCTCTTTAGATTTCATATCTATTGGTGTTGCATTGTGTGAAGATCATCGTAGTTCTATTGTTTAGTCAACAAGTATAACATACCAGATGATGTTCTATTTATGTTTCGCTGGAGTTTCTAGTTTTCACACTCGGTTATCCCAGTCATATGTAATAATGTACAGGATGCCCATGTCCGGGATGCGAAATGTACCAAGTACGTCCGTTTTGTTGTTAGGTAATTGTTTTGAGCGTATCCCTATAATGTTATGTCACAAAGTAAATCAAGGGGCACAGTTTAACAGAGTATATGACAACATGTATTTACAGTCAACAAAATAGTCATTATTAACAAGACAATATTACATGATACGTTTACATTAAATACCAATTACCTCGGCCCAGTCGCTTGTTAAGGATGTTGTATTGTGACACCGTTGTATCAATACGCTTTGTAATAGTGCGACCATGGCTTTAATTACCTGTTTAGCTTTACCGATTGTCCCTGTAGTTCACACTATATCACTTTATGTAGCGATTTTACGAGATGCATGGTGATAGTGTTTGTATATGACACCTATAAATGTACTACAGGACGTATTTAGCAGTCAAATAGGTAACTTCCTTTGTATTTATATCTGAACGATTTCAAATTGGAGTTGACATATGATTCTTATATACGACTGTACAAGGTTAGCGTGGAAGGTTAGGATATTTGTCAAGTGTGCCCAAAATGTGCGTTACTAATTTGGTTTTATGAATTCGAATTAACTATTCATAACATTATTAAGATCATTTGTGTTTTGTTGGTGCTCAGGATATAACTATTGGATATTTAACAGGAGCAAAAACAGAAAGCAAAAATATTGAGGAATGAAGTTGCAAAAATAGCCACCACTTTGTGGATTCTGCAGGTTATGAAAGTAGACCAATTGTATTTCCACTAATTTACAGGTTGAGAGGTTAGTTTCACATGACATTAGAATCACATGTTATTTTTTACAGTTATATCATAGTTGTGCTAAAAACCAACTTTATCAAAATATTATTCAACGGGTCTTGTTATTCTATCTAATGTGATGGTTAAGTAGTTTTCGGAGGAGAACTATTGGAGCAGAATTCTGTATTGGTTTTTATTTTCCGTAGTAAGAATTCATAATAACATTGATGATTACCTTATGTTAACGAATACAAAATGAATACTACCGTAGTATTGCTGCAAGCTGATCTTCAACATAGTGCTCTTTTGAGTTTCTCTTAATTTGGATTAAACGTACAAATTATGGTAAAGCACGACTTTAGCGTCGAATATATTTGAGTTGAACAATACAGTCTTTAAAAAGGAAAACTTTATCAGGACATTGGCACTGACGTACGTTTTCCCGATTTCCATTCAGACTGTTGAGGTTTCCTGCACTGACGATAGCACATGAAACCCAATTTGTCATCATTTCAAACACTTTTGTATTTCCGAAATCGCATTCTAAGACTTAAATTTTATATAATGATCAACGCATGCGTTGTGACAACGTATCGAGGCATTGATTTCAATAATCTTTCCCATGCTTATTAATTTGAAATTCCTTTCCCATAAATAGTTTAACGTGAAGAATTTTACAACCTTCTCTAAACAGTTATGGACGTAATGTTGAATTTGAGTGGAAAGGCAGTGCAACAAGTCAAAGATTCTTTCAATATTTTGTTTTTTTATAATGCTGTTTTTATGTAAACTGTTTTCTATTTGAAATGAAACCAGTATCGTAATTGTTCCTGAACACGATATTGTCATTTCTGAAAGGTTAATAGAAAGAATAGGGGAAATTTAATACGCAACAGGAAAAATTTCAAAATCAAAACTGACAAGAGAACCTGGAATTAGCTACAGAATCTGATATATTGATAGGTTTCAAGTTTTTATAAATCATGCATCTAACTTTAATGGATGTATATAAGGCTTCAAATGCACAATAGACTTCAGAGAGAAGCGTTAGTTTATATGTTCGTTATGGCATTATAGATGTAACATTACCATGTAAAAGATAATGGGGGATATTATAAAGGTACCTGAGGATCGACCAAGGATGCATGTACAAGGTAAGCAGCCCAGAAATTGTTATATTAGAAAGGGCAAATAGGCTAATTCAGAATTATATTGCTCAAAATCAAAGAAATCTCGAAATAAATGAAAAATATGCTGTTCCTCCCTCAAATCAAATCCAAGATAGATGTTAAATTTACAATTCAGAGCGATCGTATGTCTTTTTTAATGTGAAGCCCGAAGTTCTCAATGTAGTGAAGTTCTGTTGGACTATAAGGAGTACACAATGCAATCTCCAGTACTGAATACTGTCCGATAGATACTGTTTAAGAAGAAGTATATTGATATTTTGTATAATAGTTGATTGATATTATATTAATCTCAGTATCTGTCTAATAAAATTGTCATCAATGTCAGTTTGTATTCCCTGTGGATTTGTTCTATATTAGTAATAGCTGTTTGGCTATTGATCAGAATAGATTATATTAGGCCGATATGAAAATAGTTGTAGTTGTTGCTTCAGGGGTGCAAATAAGTCTGATGTATATCTCTAGTACAATGCAAATTAAATACTTAACGCTGTGGCATTAAATATGAAAAGAACGATAGCAAGATAAATTGGTTTAGAAGTCGCTTTAGGGGTGAAAGATTTGATACTCTTTTAAGTGGGGTCTTCAACATTATTGGAAATGACGGATGCATTTCTTACTCACCAATAGATGCACGGTGGACTAGTCTTTCATGTGGTCATCAACAACGAAATATAAAGATCGAGATCAATTGTCACAATTGTTTCCATCCCAAGATATGTAAATTTTGGATAAAAAATATATATATCACGTGATCTCAAGATGAAACAACCCCTGGTTTTGATGTTTAATATTTTAGTTTCTGTTATTGTTCATCAATACACCTATTTGAAATCAATATAGTACAGTTATTTACTTATTATCGGCCTGGCATCACTTTCAGAAAAAATAACATGTATATACAATCAAATGTCGTGAGTAGCGAACGGACCAATTTATATTAATTTCCAGTGATAACTATCAGAGGAAAGTGGAAAAGATTAACTTTATAGTTGATTGAAAGTTGAAAATCATGTTGCACTAATCCCCCGAGTTGTTTTCTAAAAGGTTGCAGGCTTCAACCTGTAATATTCTAATGACTTTTAAATATGTTTTAAATCCCTCTTCATTTCATCAGTGAATTTTATTCTAAATTACGTCATAGATGTAGAGTTCTGTACTAATAGTATCAGGTAATTAAAAGTATTTCAAAGCCAATTTGATGTAAAGAGAATCTATAACAAAGAGATAGGACGATCGTTTTTTTGACAAAATGACGTTTGGTATTTCAGCTAAAGAGCATTGTAGCTTTCCTATTTTTAGCCATATCCGTTTTTGGAATGTATTCTTTAAGATACAACTAAGCAGCTTTCTATGATGTTCTTCCTTCCTTGTCATTTCCATAGATTATATACACTAGTTATATTCATTACGTCAACAGCCTTTGGCTCACCAGGTTATTCTCTCAGTACAAACACCCCCGAGGCCACCTTGTAATCCAAGAAGAGAATGCTTCCTGAAAGTCCACTTTGACTTTCGTCTTGGTTTGCTCGCTCAAATTGAGAATATGTACAAGTCATTGCAATAAGTTCCTATATTCATCCTGTCTCAATGATTTATCACCACAATGTATGTACAAAAAGTATGCTCTATTTTCTCTCAGTATCATTCATAATTTTAATATAGCATTGAATGTACTGGCAACAGCTGGTTATGATGACTTTCAATTCTGTTTTAATTTACATTGCTTGTCTTTATTATCAATTTGAATATGAAGGATTCCACCGTATGTTTTTGAGCGATGCTTACAAATATTCACTTATTGAGTATAGTTAGTAATGCGCTGCGTGCACCGAAATCAAATCACAAGTAACTTTTTGACTTCAATGATAAATCCTTTATTACAGACACATTTTGAACTACGCTCTCATAAATTTGTGATTTCTCTTAATATCCGTCGGTTGAAAAGTATTGCGAAATACAATTGTTAATAACGATTGTGTTTTTGAACTATTTAAAGCGAAATAAATATAAATGAGAGTTATTATATAAATAGGGACTAATTAAAATAATATTGATAGTGTGAAATGAAATCTGGTGTTTTTTATATTTTGTATATCTACTATTTCATCAGTGTGATATAGTTAGTAGTTAATAACATGGTTTCTGCAAATTAATCTTTCGAACGTTCTTGGATTATCTTCACGTTTTGAGACTTTGTCGTCCTTTCCTTCCTTCTTCAACTTTTACAGTTTTAACATTAACTTTAATGGATTCTTGTTTTCTCTTTCTAGGTGCTGAGATCTATCTAGAGACTTGATGGTGACGGACGGCTACTTCACTTTCTTACAGATTATAATGGCGGAACACTTGGACCCGATCCTCAGAGCATTCTGGGAGGGGTTTCCATGCCCTCCGCCCTGGAAGACAGACTTATTATTCCAAGTGAACACAAGTTGTATAGACAGCCAGCTAGGTGATAGTGTTAAATTGTTTATGGCTGAAAAATGTGGAATAGATCACGAAGGGTTTAATATCCAGTCAACTTCACCAGAAGAAAAGATAGTTGTAGCGGACTGTGGTTTAAACTGTAAAATAGTGATAATATTAGTATGTTTGACTGTTATTTTAGCCACTGTTGCTGGAGTATTATATCTTATTAACAGGTAAGCTTTATATAAATATATACAAGAAGTTGCATATCTGTTAACAGATTCAAAGCTTTAACCGTTGCTTGAATTTGAACTATTCTAAACAAAGCCTATGTAAGGTAAATATTAATGCAAAGACAAATGCATAACAAAGGTTGTAATCATCTTTGGATTTTGGGATCGCTGTTGCAAGTGGTGTAAGACCGTGTAGTGTAATAGGACCCCTCTCATGAATAAACTGTGTATCCATATAGAGACAGAAGAACAAAGAGTGCTGCTGATGGATGAATATGACCAGTTGATAATCCATTAGTTCAATAAATAATATACTAGTAATAAATCTAATGGTCAGATATAGAATCTCGAGCAACTAATCTCCGCTATAAATTATTCAAATTACAAACAGATCGATTTTATTGATTGGTTTTTGGTTTATTAATCCCAGTACTATGATTTATATCACTATAATCATTATTAGATTTATATTTCATTAACCCTGGACATTCCCAGAATTCTAACTTTCATTGTACTCGATGACTGACGCACATAGTTTGGTGCTCGCCCAACTCTGATTGTGTTGGTTTGCTGGTTCAGTAGCATTTTTGTATATTTAAAATTAACGAAATTTCAGGATGCGGCATTGGCATGTCTTAAAACACTTGTATTCGAAATTCAATAATGAATCGTGATGCAGCAAGGAATTAATCAGTCCATTTCATTTACTTCCAATTCCAAGGACATAGACAGCAAACGTTGATCGTACAAAATGCCAAATATTTTCCAATTGACAGTTTCATTTGAGCAAGAAGTCATCAAATATTGATGTGAACAGACCTGTTTTCACATACCCTCTACGAAACTAACGATTTTCATAGCTGACCTTCTTCTATCCACGTCTTGGCATTTACACAATAGGAATGTTTTTGTCTGAAATTTCTATAATAAAAACAATACGGAATCGATTTCAAAGTACACTATTGATATTTTAAAGTAAGCTTCGCTCTGCTTCAACGACTGAGATAAGACTGAAAATAAAGCCGTCATTTATAGATGAAACAAACCCCTAATCCTTTATTGAATTATTAATCACATTGGAGCCTTTTAGTCTGACACAGTCTAGCGAGCGGAAAAACTGGTTGGATTATGCAGTCATGCCAGATATTACGATGGACATTTCGTATCATGCTGCTGAGTTGAGTCTGGCGATATTGTGCCAATGTTATCTAATGATCTTCAGCTCAATTTGCAAAACTAATCGTGTTTAGATCACTTATACTTTCCTGCAACACTATGGTGAAACCAAACCTTTTGAACGTATATTTTTGACCTCCTAGTCATCAAAAAAGGGGACATCGAAGGTCACAGAAATATATATTTCAATGGCATTACTTATGAAATGGCGTCAGTAGAACGAAATAAAGTTTTTTTTTTATATTAATGAGAACTGCCAATTGGTTGATGTAAGGTTCAATAATAAAAGTATGTAACGTTAAAAAAAGTTACAATTGAATCAAACATATTAAGTAAAGGATATATTCGTTCTCTTTAATCATCTGAACAATTGATTTTTATAGTTCAAAAAGGAATCTTTATCCACGCACAATTAGTTTATAGCGGTGATATCAAACAGGAAATGGTTTATTTCAGTCGTAATCCACTACTGAATTATTAAAATAGTTCTGGAGTCGGCGAGTCTCGGGTGAGCAATGTTTTAACAATAATTGAACTACGGAACGCCATTCTTGGACGTCCCCAGAGACTTGTCGTTTGTTTTTGTCGGCTGTGTGTGAACATTATCTACACATGTATCGAGGGAAACATAAAATTTATCTCCATGTTTTTACATGATATCGGTAAACAACTCTGGTTTCTAATGAACATAATAAAGTTAGTCTGGTCTAATAATTGCATTAATGCTCATCAATATATATCCTATTGATACGGTGTTCCATCCTGCGGCCTAATTACTGTTTCTTTAAATAGACAATCTGTCATTGCCCTACTGAAGACTGGGAATGATTTTTCTGATAGGATTACATGATATAAACTTGAGCATTAGTGTACATGCACCGATATGGATTTAATAAGCAATAGTTTCTTTCAGCTGTCTCTTAGCATTTAGGAGAAATAATTCTGTTCCGTATAGAGCAAATAGCTACAAGATGCAAATAAATCAATTTTATTATTAGTTATTTGTTGTGTGGAAACTCGACAAAGGTCAATGGAATTAACAAACCCAACCATAAAATGATGTCAGATGTTCCTAAAGCGCATGGTTATGAGGCCGACTTCATTTGACCACTATCGCCAATGTATGACCATGCTATGGAAGAAACCACCACAAGAGACAGAACAAGTTTTCATCGAGTTTATCAATTGCTATTCTACGTGGTATTTAATTTTCGATCTGCTCACTGTGTCCAGTCATGCGGGTTTGAATTGCGTGTCGGAATGTTAAATAAGTTTTCCACTGACATTATCGACTTGGACTCCCTGCCTGCATGACCTCGAATGATACTTTCCGCTTAGTTAATCCTTTTCCATTATATCATGTTAAAAGCAAACGCAATGGCAGAATGGTCTGACTAACCATTCATAACGAACTTCCATAAAAACGCAAAGAAAATCCATTGAGAAAATTAAGAGGAAATTTCGAACATTGACTAAGATGTTTTTATAATGGGTTCTCATGGTATTTGGTTCATTGGAAATTGTTAAGTCCTATTTCACTAGAGCCTTACAGCCAATAAAATCTTCTTAGTGCAGAATATGTGAAGGGGAATCTGCCATGATCCGTGCATATATTGACATTAAAGCCCACTGAAGTGAAAGTTTAATGCGTTTGGCAGTAATTCGGGATTATGGTACTTTTAAAGAATGCATTCGTTAGTAAAATTGGAATTGATGTAGTCTGGAGTGCACCTCCTCTCATGATGTAAAGACCGTTGCTATTCTGAAGATCTTCATGAATAAAGTCGACGTGATAACTAGCAATAAAAGTTTTTGTTTTTTAGAATAAACACTTTTATTTATCGTAAAACAAATTTGAATTATCTCGATCTGCAGTATTATGTGTTAAATAGAAAAAATCTACCAGTAAAAATGAAATGAAATGTATTAAGAAGCACCAAAACGGGCTATATAGCATCTACTAAATGGTAAAGGTGTCTTTCCTACACCTGTTTCTGTGAAACTATCATACTGGCATCACCAAGTGCATCGATGCCGAGGAACAACTCTTATGCTATGGAATACAACGATATTTTTCGTACCATTTTATGGCACATTTTCCCAACATTTCTTATTCTAGCTGGTAGATTTTATGCCCTCAAAAGTTCCATTATGTTAGACGTAGAATTTATATTTTAGTTCAATATACATATAAGGTCATTTTACTGTTGGTTTTTATTGTTCCATCTCAAATTCTTACAATATACGTAGCTGAATTAATGTTGATTTTTACTGCTGAAGCGAACGTTTTAACAGTATTTCTTATATGTATTCGCCTCGATACCTTCTAAATCTAATGCGGAAAATATGCTTAATGAGGTGAATGGAGATATAGCTTCATTTTGATTACAATTTCGTCCTTTTTTTATTTTTATTCCCTACACGAGATAGAAAAAGATAAACTTTTCTTAAAGTTATGATTAGATTTTAAAGAAGAGATTGGACATTTATGATTTTCTGACAGGTTCTTGAGGAATAACTAAAAAACTTGAGTATGTTTTTATCGGACACATTTTCAGCTTCAGTGACTCTTCATTATGTCAAAAAAAACTTTGCTTTTTTTTTTGTAAAGTTATATTCCTTATAGTCATCATTATTATATCAACAAATTCCTGGAAGAGAAGTAAAAAGAAATCTTATCTTCAGAATCTTCGGCGGAATTTCGATCTGTCTTTCATTTTGATAAAGAAATGATAATGGCATCTTGCACACATAATTCACGTTCTGTAGTAAACAGTTTTGCTTTCATCGAAAGGTCTTCATATCTTCAAGTCTATATTATGCATATGAGGTACTGTTTTATCGAAGATATTTCGATTTTCCCAACACTGGCGTAGAATGGCATCAGGTGTTTCGAAAGTAAAAGCTTACAGCCAATTAAACAAAGGCTTTATCTACAGTACTGTCATATAATTCGGGAAAGAATAAAAAAAGAATCTGGAAATCTAATTTTTGGGCCTCTGCGCCAGAAATCTGATCTGTCCTTCATTTCGATAAAGAATGATAAAGCAAATTCAATATTTGTATCATTCGTATTGTTAGCGTGGACATTGGACCTCCCGGGGGAAATAGGTGACGGTCTTTTCGACGAAAAACCATTTTATTTTTGCAAACAATTCTGTAAAATAATAATTTAATGTATACTGTCTTATCGAAGCTATTCCGATTTTTCCAGCACTGACTTAGAATGACATCAGGTGCTTCTAAGGTGAAATGTTACACTTGCACCGAGATTCGTCTCAATAGAACTTCATACCGGCAACCAATGAGACCAAGTTAGCAATTCGTACAGTAGTATCATATAATACGAGACCAAGTGAGCAATTTGTACAGTAGTATCATTTAATTCGAGACCAAGTGAGCAATTTGTACAGTAGTATCATTTTATACGAGACCAAGTGAGCAATTTGTACAGTAGTATCATATAATACGAGACCAAGTTAGCAATTCGTACAGTAGTCTCATATAATACGAGATCAAGTGAGCAATTTGTACAGTAATATCATTTTATACGAGACCAAGTGAGCAATTTGTACAGTAGTATCATATAATACGAGACCAAGTTAGCAATTCGTACAGTAGTCTCATATAATACGAGACCAAGTGAGCAATTCGTACAGTAGTCTCATATAATACGAGACCTAGTGAGCAATTTGTACAGTAGTCTCATATAATACGAGACCAAGTGAGCAATTTGTACAGTAGTATCATTTAATACGAGACCAAGTGAGCAATTTGTACAGTAGTATCATTTTATACGAGACAGAGTGAGCAATTTGTACAGT